AAAAATATTTCTATTTCTTCTATCCGTTCATTGGAGTACATATAAATTCTCACATAAACTAAATTGGGTATAGACCATCCTATAGGAGCTATGTTATTTCCACCATTTTGCAAAGATTCTCTTACAGTGCCATAATGCCTACTAATTTCACTGTTGCTGAAATTTTCGCACATCCCATCTACGTAAGTATATAAAATGTTTGAATATTTTTTAAAACAACAATTTATCACGTATCAACATTAAGCGTAATCTCCTTGGCATAACCATATTTATAAATATATAAATAATCATAACAAAATTTGAAGGTGCTAATATTTTAAACCTAAACCCTGAACCCTAAACACTAAAATCTATACTATGAGAAATTTATCTGGAAATATAAAAAATATCTTAATTATAAATTATGCAAAAATAATCTTAATTGTATATCAAATGGATAAGTTTGTGTATGCATTCTTTAGAAAACTAACTAATGTAATGAAGAAATATATGTAAATAATCTATTAAGCCATGCTACTTAAAATAATTAAATGACTGAAAAATTAAAAAAAATATTATTACTTCATTCATAAACATAGTGTAACATAAATTTATATGTAAATTATAAATTATATTATATAATAATGATAAAAATAAAAAAAAAACAAAAAAGAATCCCTATAATTCTAAAATAATGGAATATAATCATTCATTTTCAATCAATACTATTTCTATTTTACAATATTAAAATAATGAATATCGCATAGGATATATTTATGTAAATTGCATTAATATACATTTAATTCTTACATTGTAAAATGATCATTTTTATATTTTATTTAATAATAATTTTTTCTGTTTTTTTTTTGAATGCGGATTTTTATTACAACTGTTATGTTAAATGTGATATTTGCACACATATTTTAATTAATAATTATTTCCACAGGGATAAAACATATTAATAATATTGCTTTCTGAATCTAATGAAAAATATTCTCTACGTCTAAAGTAAATTAATTTCTGCATATAATACCTTATTAAGGTCTTCCTATAATTTTTATCAAATAAAAATTTTTTAATTTCAAAATGCTATATATGGAAGACAAATGTAGGTAAAATGTAACATGTATAAATAATTGAATTTATTTTATATTTATAAAATAGAAATATTTCTTAAAATATCTGCAAACGTGATTATAAATATATCAATATTACATTATATTTAACAAAAAATATAAAAAGAAAAATAATCAATAGAACAAAGAGAGTAAAAAAAAAGGATTTCAATGGAGACATAACATAACAGTAATATTCAGTAGATGGTTCCCATATACACCAATTTCTTTGATCATTATCATCATCAGCCTGAGCATTTATTTTTTCTTCCCATAAAGCCATCAATCTATTATCTAGTAATTTGTTCTTGCTACATAATTTGTTTTTCTCTCTGTATACACTTATTTTTTTATTCAACCATTCTTTGAAAAAATCACAAATATTATTATAATTCTTATAAATATATAACAATTTTGCAGCAGTGTAATTTTCGTATAGCAAACACCCAAGCTTATACAAATCAGTATCTTCATCCAGCAATTTAATCAATATTGAACTGCTTTCAACAGATTCCTTTTTTATTTCAGCCTCATCCCATGATTTAAAAAGAACATTTTTATTTTTTTCAGGGTAAACATTTTCCTAAGAATAGAAAGAAATGCATGATATTGAATTATGTATTTATTGCAAGAGATAAATAATTAATTATATTATTATATATATATGTATATGTCGTATTATTTTTACCATTATAAAAAAATAAGGCTCATAATACACAATCAGAGATTAATTATTATTGAATTATACAATAATTATTTTCTATATTGTTACTAATTGTGCAAACATTAATACGTAGTTCTTTATTTTATGGTAATATTTAAATATTCATGTTGTTCTATTTCACATGATACATAATAATGAAAATCATTTTAATTACTATAATTATTTCATTATTACAGTATGTATTTATACAATTTTTTCTATTTATTAAAACATTCACCGCATGTATTATACCTCAATTTAGTATAATAAATAATACTAATTATGATATATAGTTTATGTATATTTGCTCTTTTTCTATAAATCTAATATTAAATTTATTTGATTCTATTCACGTTAATTAGTATTATTACTTATATATTTATAAAATGTGTAATTTAATTATTTTTTTACATTTTATTTCTTATTTTTTTAAATATATATAATTATTTCAATTATTTGTTATAAAATATATTACAACGATAAATATAAAACTTTATATAATTTAATTACATTTAAAATGCATATAAAAAATAAATTATCAATTAAATTATTTATATATTATCATTATTCTGTCGTTTCTGAGATTAAACTAGAAATATATTTTTTCTTTACGTGACTATTTTAAGGATGTTTTTGAAAATTATAAAAATTCACTAACGTTTGCATTATACTTATAACCTAATGTAAACATATTTATCTATTCTAATATAATCTTTTCTCTTCTATTAATGTATATATAGAAATAATGTTTTTTATATATTCTATTTTATCATTCTTATATGTTTTCTAATTTTCTGATTCTAATAATTTTCCACAAAATTATATTTTTCAAAATATATACATAATAATAGCATAAAAAAAAATATTAAAATATTTTTTAGAAAATAAACATAATATTATATCTGATAACATATATATTTACATATAATTTTTTATTATATTTCTAACATAGTGAAATGTGGAAATTTAATATTTAAAATCGATTTATATTAATTTATTATTTTATGTAAATATATAAAACAAACAGAATATATATGACGTATTTTAAAAAATTTGGAGATTTTCCATATTCTTTAAATCACATGATATCGGCAAAAAAAAAAAAAAGAATTAACACATAATAATATATTTTCGAATTAATCATGAATTTATTTTAACTAAGGATTAGAGATTATTATAAATAAAAATATAATTTATTAAAACATATAGTGAATTTGTAAGAAACAGTTAATACCCCATAGGATACATGTGTATATTGAATAATCATAACATATTATAAATGAACTCACTAAAAATATCAATATTACATGTAAATTAATATATTATGCCTTTATCTTTTTTCCAAATACACGTTTTATACGCACGTGTATTAATAAATATATGAAATCAAATTATAAAATGAATATAAAATATATTTTAAAATAAAAACTCATTAAAGCAGTACTGTGGAATAATATATAAATGAGATTATATAATAAGATAAATAAATTCATATCTAACCATGTATTTTTTTTTTTATAAAATCTGAATACATATAGTATATGATATTTTAATTTATAAATTACATATTTATAATTAATTAATTATAGTATTTTAAATTAGATAAACCTTTTTTTTGATTATTCTCACATTATTCCAATACATCCCCCTTTTTTATTAATATTTATATATTATAAGATAACATTAATTATATATTGAATATACATATATGGAAACGTTTACTATTTATATTTTTATTTGTAATTATTATAAAAAATATTTTCAAAAATGGAAAAAATTAATGATAAAAATTTATTTTCTAAAATTAAAATTATAA